GGGGGGCAGACCAAGGCCCCTGCAGTGAGGGAGGGAGTGCGAGTGGGGCAGGCACTGCACAGCCGGATCAGGGCATGGAACGGAGCCGCAAGTAGCTCATCCAGGGGACACGGGGAGGGGGTGCAGCTCCTGTCACTGCATGTACCACGGAAGGGCATGGGAGGGCATGTGCCCCCAGATCTGTGCACAGGGCAAGGGAGGGCTGCTGCTATGGGTTGGGGCCAGGGCAGTGCCAAGCTCTTCCTAGCAAGAGGCTGGGTCAGGCTGTGCTCAGGGCAGGCGGCAGCAGCACTGGGAGGGGCTGCAGCCACTCCAGAATTCACAGTAGCTCCCCCTCCCAGTGCCACCACCACCTGCCTCAAGCGCAGCCCAGCCCAACACCCCACTGGGAACAGCCCAGCACCACCCTGGTCCCAGTCCAGTGGCAGCCTGTCCGCACCCTGCATGCAGATCTGCCTCCACCCACCCTCCATGCCCTCCCAGGGGTGCAGTGGGAGCCCCCCTACCCATGCACAGCTCAGTCCTGTGCCCCATTGCAGCTGGGCAGCCCCACTCCCTCCCCCTCACCCAGGGCCTCGATCTGCCCCTCTTCCGTCCCCAAACCAACTTACCAGCCAGACCCAACTATTCTCCATGCTTCCAGGCTGTGCTGTGGCTGTGCGCACGCATATGGTATTTAAAATCAGCCACATCAGTTCTGCGCACCCCCTACAATCCTAGGGTACGTGTACCCCCGGGTGACAGCCAACAAGTTAGAACAATTAATGTATTTGGTCTTTTCACAAGCCAAGTGCTCCTCCTCAACAACAAAAGAAATCTTCTGGATTCTTTTGCTCTCCTGGGCAAGAATTTATGTAGCTGAGGCCCTGAAGGCTAATAATCAGGGACAGCCCCAAACCAGCCTTATGCACAGCTGCAGCCCACAGCTTGCACCAAGTATAACTGGGACAGCTACCCCACCTGCTTCATCAAGACCATTCCACAGTATAGTGTTATTCCACAATAAGAAACTGCTTATAAAAATCAGAAGGAACAAGAACCAGAAATAAAAGCAATCCAATACATTTGGTGCCTAATGGAAAACTATGCAGAAATAGCAAGCTGAATAAATCAGACCCTGACCAAACCCAGAGGTTGTTTGCATGAGCTGACTGACTTGACCCCTGAGAGGGATTCCTCCCCCAGGATTCAAAGCCCCCATTCCAATAGGGGCATAGTTTTGTTTTTCAGATGGGAAAATAGAGGCCTATGGTCTCATGCACTGGGAAAGCTGGCTGCATCTCCAAGAGGATACATTTGGAGATTCTTCAGGACCAATCCCCTAAACTAGTGGCTTTCAACCTTTAGACTAGGTTGCACGAGACTCCAGGCATTCCTAGGAATATACCAGCTCTTAGTTTTCAGGGGGTTTTCTTCTACTACAGAAAAATAGAACAATTCTTCTGTTGCAAAGAATTCAGAAAGATCACGATAGGTCAGAATGCTTTTAATGCTATGGATTCCTAGCTGAAGCCTCTGAACGTCTTGTGAAT